TATATTTACGACTATTTATATCGATTATGAAATTACGAATACATTGAATGCTTTTAATGTTTTAAGATATAAATTGTTAATAAATTGATAAGTTTTTCACTAATAAATACGTTTTTAGCATAAAATGCGGTTAATTTCATAACTTTATTACAATGTGTTGTATTTGTAATATATAAGGATATTCAATAATTTTTCGCTAACTTGTTTTTGCCATTATATCGGAGCCATTAAAGTGATAATATTGTAACTTTGCATATACAAATTCATTTGTACAGTATACAGATTCATGTGCGGCAATTTTTATATACAGTAGGAATTTTTCAATCACGTGACTATATTCTGGAAAAGTGGAGGCTATCCGAGATCAATATTTACAGACTGCTGGGGTTATTATAGGGAGGGGAGGGGTTAGGGGTGATTAGAGGAGATGTCAAAGTGTTATATAAACTTACGAACCACTATACACTCCATCGCAACTATTTATCATCGCAACTACTGTACGACCACTACCACTCAATTTTAATAAAACATTTAATATGAGATAGAAATTGACGAGTTAACACATTTAATAACAATCAAACAAATTAGACTAAAGTTATGAAAATATTTGTTGCAATCAAACACTTTATGGCAATCCCTGGAAAGGTGTGTCCGGTTTGCCCTCATTAGGAGGCGGAAGAATTGGGGGCTCATTAGGACTGATGGGCACTGCGCTCATCGACGGCTCACGCGGTGGTGGGGCTGACACAGGAGGCGGTGGCACAGGGGGTGGCGGCACAGGTTTGGGCGCAGGTTTGGGTGCAGGTGGCGGAGGCTTTCTCTCCTTATCACCACTTTTTTCCTTTTCCTTCGACTTTTTGGACTCTTTACGCGGACTTTCGGACTTTTCCTTTGATTCCTCATCTTTTTCGCTGTCAACAGTCTTTGCTAAACAATTGCACAAAAATTAATCGTTTATTCATTTAATAATATTTTCTCAAATGATTTATTACTTTGTGATAATCGTTTGGTAATACAGCAGAGAGCTATGCAAACGGCTGTCGCTATGACCAGACTTAGGAATAATAGAAGTGTCAAATAAAGCCATACATTGTTTTGATCCTTCGGTGCCGTGGGTTTAATCTGTTTAGTCCGCGTTGTGGTCACAACCGTGTGTTGAGTAGATGTAGTGTCCGAAGTGGTGACTGTTGTCGGAGGTGTTGTTGCGGTCATATTGTGGTCGATAGTGGTTGAGATGGTGTTGGGATCAGCTGTGGTGGTAGTTGTGATGACAGAGGGAACAGACACTGATGTCTGTGTTGACTGACCCAATACACCACTACTGGCGCACAGAATCACCACAAATAATATAAATGCCGACATTAATTGTCTTAAATTCATTGTTTTCGTAAAACTCAATGAAAACACAACTCAAGAGTTATAAGAAATGATAATTTATTCACAATTAGATATAAAAAGTGTATTTCTATTATGAAATCAGAAAATACGTTAAATCCGTAACAAAACCGTTAAATAAAATTTAATTAAATTCTCGTTCAGAAGTATAAGATTTTTTTTACTAACATGTATTGTTGATTATAATTTATAAACATCGTATTGTATTGTATTTAATTGAATACAATAACTATACAATACAAGGAATTGTTATAAGTCTTGAACATAAAATTATTGCTTTATTTGTTGATAAATCAATTAAATGTACAATTAATGGATATCATTTAAAAAAATTATTAACAGAAATATATTTAGATCTTAAACAAAATTAAAAATTTATTTTAATTAAGAATCACAATAAGATATGCGTAAACTATTTGAACAAACATTTAAATTAAACCAAATAACAATTAATTCATTAAATAATAAATTCCATGTAATGAATGGACAATAATTAACAGTTTATTGTTTGACACTTTATATCTAAAATGTTAAGAATCACATTAATATGATATAGTATTGACGCCTCTTAACCAATCACTAGATATAACTAATGGAAACAAAACATTGTAATATAAGGTTAGATATGTTTTTAATGATTTTAAATCACTCAACCATTTTTAGCGTTAATAAGTTTGTTTGAGTCTCTGACAATAAATATACATGGTCATTAACATGATAAGGTCTATTTTTGTATAGACCTAGCATATAATTAATTTACACTATTTTTACACATCTGGGAACAAACTGGGAATTATATTTAAGTTTAGATATAATATAATATTAACCATTAATAGAATTCAACTATAAGTTTATTGTTATATAATTGAATTAAGGCTTAAGAATATTCGTTAAATACTAGATTCATAATGTATGACATGTGATATCTATGTATGATATGTAATAGAATTGATATAGTTTTAGATTTTGATAATATTCATATTAATACTTAAGTCTAATTTGAGATCTATGTACATAATAACTTGTTATTAATAAGTTATAAATCAATTTTAATTAAATTCATAACATTGCAATTAACGGTATAAGTCTGATAGCATAAAGCTTAACTTTAGCCCTTTTTATTACATGTCGCCCATAAAACAGCAAACTATAAATATTTAACCTGAGATTCTGGTACACTAAACTATATTTAACCATGTTTTAAGAATAATTTACACCTATGGTGCAAAGTGAAATGTAAGTGATTTATATAGTGTACAAATAAGTTAATTGAGTGCATTAAGAATATTGTATATACAATATTTAACATAAACTTTATGTGTAGTTTATTAAAATTAATTATAAGTTATAACTGATTTAATGGGAATCTAATAACTGATATACAAACTTTGTATTTATCTAATAGGAACATCAAATCTAATGGAAATTGTCTTAAGTTCAGACTTAACTATAAACAAATTTGTTAGAAACTCTACTAAAATTAAATTGAACAAAATCTTACTAAATGTTTAGATCATAATTATGAGGTTATATACAGTACAGTAAATTAAATTGTATATTAAATTAGGGATAATATTTTAAATTTCAGTGAGATGTTTTGTCGTCCTAAACTAAATTAGATTACACCACATTGTTTACAACATTTAATTATATTTACAATCATTATTGGTCACAACCATAGAGTGAGTGAAGTCCTTATGTTTCTCTCATTTATATCACAATTTTTATTTCGTTTTTATAAAATTTATATACTTTTCTACTAATAAAATAATCAAAAAAAACGATTTTAATAAATAACTATTTTTATATATTTATCAAACAAAACGATAATAATAATAATACTTTCTATTTTTGTACTATAAATTAATTATTGTTTTATAATTAACCATTATTTTAATATAACAATGAATAAAATATACAGAAAAATATGTTTTAAAACAGTGTAAAACTATAATTCATTATTTGTTTCATAGAATTTGAGACATTATTTTAATAACAATACTCTTAACATTTTTAAATACTCTTAACTTTTATAATTAACAACTAATATAACAAATTAATTAATAAATTCGTATTTTTATAACATTTATTTGTTTCATAGAATTTGAGACATTATTTTAATAACAATACTCTTAACATTTTTAAATACTCTTAACTTTTATAATTAACAACTAATATAACAAATTAATTAATAAATTCGTATTTTTATAACATCTATCGATACACTCGTTGACAACGTTTCTAATCACTCATTGTATGAAAGACACAGTTATCTGAAGATCAAGTTTGATATGAATTGATTTTAATACAAAGCTCTCGCATCTGAAGTAGACTTCCCTCTAAACTGAGGGCAAAGAAATCGGAACTCGTTTCGCACGAACTGAAGAAAGAGCTGATGCAGAATGTGATCACATTTTGACATATATTGTAAGAACAGCCGTAACCGTCGGCAACAACGGGTCCATAGCCGACAAGAATGCCCTTTTCGGTCGCCAATTGACTCGTCGACAAACGGAAATTCAAGAATTCTTTGTATGATTTTTCTTTAAAAAGTGACGGAATCTCTTTGTCGTTGATTTTGGACATCACGTTAAGTCCGAGTAAGTGATTGTCTATCCCGTGGCCGCAGATTGTCTAAAATATTTAATAGATTTTGAAACTTTCAAAAAAGTAAAGCAATTTTTTGCTATACAAACATATTTCAAAATTTCCATTTGCTTTGCCATAGCTTTTAGAAACATTTCGGTCTTATGTCTTTCCTAATGAATGGAAAATTTATTGTTAGTTAAATAACAAGTTGACTAAATTGTGTTAAAAAACTAAACAGTAATCTCTGGTATCTCATCGCACATGGCCTTAGCCCAGGCCAAGGCCTCGAGAGTGGCCGCACGGATGTTATCAACTCTTCCCAGTTTAAAGGGTCGGAGAGAAGCGCTTTCATAAGTGGACACTAATTTTCGGTGCACTTTATAGTAAGTCAATTGAAGGGCCAATTGAACGAAAGCGTCGGGACTTAGTTTCTGCTGTTTCACAAACTCTTTGCCAAATTCATTGAATTGAAGGACATAGAGATCCACATCTGCTATCAGTCTATGTGTATAATTAATTTTGTGAATTAATAATTAATTAGAAAACACTGTAAATATTGATTAGAATAGCTTTTATATTGAGATGTACTAAGAAATCAATATATGGCCAAAGATATAATAAGACACTATTGCTGTTATAACTCAAGAATGCAATTCATTAAAAATTTATAAACAAAATATTGCATTATTCCTGTGTTTTCTATTTATGTAATGGCTTTTTGTTGCTATAAATATCCGTCTATTACTTCTTCCATAAATAAATGTACGATTATATCGCTTATCATAAACTATTCAGTGTTTTAGCATTTAAAATATCCCAAATTTAAAAACATTGTCATCCATTCATACTTATCGATTCGTTTTGTTGATTCAATCAATTGAAAGCTGATGTTATCGTCGATATCCCAGTGCAATGGGAACACACCGTTGTGTAGATTTACATTTGAATTCCTATTATGAAAGCCTTTTGTCGAGTCTTTCCTGTGATGATTGCTATGAAAGGGATGTTCTTCGAGATAATCGATTAATTCCTGGCAAAAGCGCAAAATAGTCATCCCTTCGGAGACTGTATGCTCACTAATCACACCAAATATGCCGTCTTTTCCTATGATAATCTGTTTGATTTAATTTCTATTACATTTCAATTTGCAATTTTAATCATTGCTTTTTTGCGAATGAAACAAAACTGTATTTTTAAGGCAATTATTAAAGACCTGAAGTGTTTTGTCGAACCATCGGTTGGGTGTGTAAAACTGAGAGCCGCCGCCGTGTAGTAGAGTAGAGGCCATATATGTCGGATCCATTCGTGCCATTTGTATTGAGTCTCGTCTTTGATTTCTTGTGGTTTTAGTGGAAACACAATCGTCGAGACAAATGACAAACAAACAGTTTTCGATATATTTCAACGACTGTTTGTTAACATCGCCTAAATATTCAATAGAAGAAAAAATATAATATTCATTGAAAAAACACTTTAAATTTAAATTGAATTCAAATTGAAGAGCACTCTCTCACTCAAAAGCATCCGTTTCCTAGTGTTGGCCCATATTTTCCTATTATCTGTGGTAAGTATTCCGACAAAAGGAGCGCACGATTCATATTCTTTAGACAAATACCAAATGTATTTCAATTTATCGAGCAATTCATCTACGGATGGAAATTCATTTCGTTTGAATTGAAGCACAAAAAACTAGAATCCAATAAATAGTATATATATTTTTCATTGTAATTATTGTGACAAACAAATGATTGCAATCTATCTATTGATGTATATTAAGAAAATAGTGTAACGAAAAGTTCAGCTCAAACCTGATTTCTGGAGGCAATCACAATGTGTTCGTTATCTTCTTCTCGGTTCTCATTAATCAATAAAATCTCGTCTTTCTCTTCGCCAGCAATTCTATAGGCATTGAAGAAGTTTTTATACGTTTGCATACATAACGGCTGTCCCTTTCCCTGACCCGAACCATAATCTTGTGATAGGCTTTGACTGTAATGTTTGATCAAATTGTTTGTAATTTTGTTATAAATACCGCAAAAATGATTATACAAAATATACAAAATAAAATAACACAAACTTTTCGATTCTGTTCCGAAACTCATAAGTGAATTGAATGATCTCTGATGCGAGCCTTAACTGATCCGTTGATGTCTTAAACTGTTGTCGAGGGAACAGATAGAAAGGACTGGAGTTGATGGGCAGTGGCAGAGCATTCAATAGATACATGTCGTCCAACCATATTGGTGTTATCTGTTGTGATCATCATATTATGTTCAAATCAAACTACTGTACATTATTGTATATTGAATTACGCTATTATTTTCTAGTAAATATTATGGCCGATAAACTTGATTTTTGAAACTGAATTTGTGTTTAAATTTAAAGTTATATTCTTATAGTTTGTATACAGAATATAGTAAAGAAATTAAGGTATTTTCATGTTTCCTAAATAAACATTAAACGAAATAAATATTTAGGAATTCAATGCAAAACTATTAATATTACAACAATATATTCCTATAACTTTTGCGAATTTGTGTATTAAGTAATCCTTTGATATATTTATACAATTATAATAAAAGTACAGATATATCGCACATCAATAATAAAAACACATGAATAAATAAAATTCATATCAAGAATATAGTCGATTGCCTTTTGTTTTTCCTTTGGGTAAAAATATAGTTTGAAAAGCAGATGTATTTCTGGCCTACAGTTCCCACACTTCAATGATTTTCTTTCTTTTCAAATTCAAACCAAAACTAACAATAGCTATGAATTGGCTATTATAGAGACACGTAATGTCGTCCGCCATATAAAACACAACAAATAAATACATTTAATATACTGTATAATCAAATGAAGTGAAAATTATTAGCATATTTTTTATTTAAAAATAGCATAGTTTACACTTAACTTTGACATTTTCATTCGGAATATTAATTTCTAGCAATTTACTATAATATAGTATAGTTTTTATCTAAAAATCCCAATAATAAACGCCAAGTAATCATTAAGAGAGGCTTAAGAATGAAAACTAAAAATATATAAAATATTTTAGAAGTTTAGACATTTTCTAAATCTATGGATTAGTTTGTTATAAATTGTTAAATATTGTATAGAAATCTCTGATCATATATAAATAATTAATGATTTGCCAATAGTTAATGTAAAGTAAGTTTTTTATTAACTATAATTAGGATAAACTTTATTTATTGACCTAAAGTTAGAAAAATTCTGTGTAAAATAATACAAAAATTTATTTTCGTCGTACATTTTGTAAGATAAACTATAGTTATATAAATAGTAAATCTTTTATAAATAGGGATATATTTTATTTAAATTTAATAATTGTTATTTTGAGTTTCAAAAAATGTCTAAATTAAATCCACTATAAATGAAAGAATTCATATAATTAATTAGATGTAGAGAGAGAGAGAGAGAGAGAGAGAGAGAGAGAGACTTCAGTTCAACTTTATATCCACTCATTGGGTATTAGAAAGTTTCGTTTCATTGTTAGAAAAACTGTTTGAAATCACGTTCTTTTACTCTCTGCCTGTTTTTCAATATTTCACAAATAATATACACATCTAATCATAATATTTTTGAATAACTATTTGATCAAGATTTATATAAAGTGTGGGCTCTATCTCAGGGGTCGTATTATACCTTCGATTCAGAAAATAACTATTGATTAAAAAGGTTTGTCAGAAATCCAATTCCGTAACACTTTTAAAACACATCCAATATATTATTAATACATTTAAATATTACATGAATTCAATAATGACTAAACCAGTGAAGGCACACACAGGGTTGGCAAACACGGAATTTAGTTTGCGGTGAAAATTTCACAGCTTTATGCAAAATATTCGCCTTCAATTACATATTAGAAACCCTATTAGTGAGAAATTTATGGGAAATTTCTATTTAAAATCCAAAAAACAAATTGATAACAACGCTAGTTATACACCACTTCTCTCTATCAGGAAAGCGATCAGAAATAATTGAGTACTAAATAGTAGTAAATGTTTTGTTCAAATAAATAGTTGTCTCAATTTTTCTTTTTACATTAAGTTTATATTTAGTAAAAACTAAAGCAATTATATTTTTTAATACAAATTATAAGTTTAATTTATTTATAAATACTAAAATAATAAGAGAATTTGTTATAAGTATACGAATTTATTAATTAATTTGTTATATTAGTTGTTAATTATAAAAGTTAAGAGTATTTAAAAATGTTAAGAGTATTGTTATTAAAATAATGTCTCAAATTCTATGAAACAAATAACGAATTATAGTTTTACACTGTTTTAAAACATATTTTTCTGTATATTTTATTCATTGTTATATTAAATTAATGGTTAATTATAAAACAATAATTAATTTATAGTACAAAAATAGAAAGTATTATTATTATTATCGTTTTGTTTGATAAATATATAAAAATAGTTATTTATTAAAATCGTTTTTTGATTATTTTATTAGTAGAAAAGTATATAAATTTTATAAAAACGAAATAAAAATTGTGATATAAATGAGAGAAACATAAGGACTTCACTCACTCTATGGTTGTGACCAATGATTGTAAATATAATTAAATGTTGTAAACAATGTGGTGTAATCTAATTTAGTTTAGGACGACAAAACATGTCTCTGAAATTTAAAATATTATCCCTAATTTAATATACAATTTAATTTACTGTATATAACCTCATAATTATGATCTAAAGATTTAGTAAGATTTTGTTCAATTTAGTTTTAGTAGAGTTTCTAACAAATATGTTTATAGTTAAGTCTGAACTTAAGACAATTTCCATTAGATTTGATGTTCCTATTAGATAAATATATCAGTTATTAGATTCCCATTAAATCAGTTATAACTTATAATTAATTTTAATAAACTACACATAAAGTTTATGTTAAATATTGTATATACAATATTCTTAATGCACTCAATTAACTTATTTGTACACTATATAAATTACTTACATTTCACTTTGCACCATAGGTGTAAATTATTCTTACAACATGGTTAAATATAGTTTAGTGTACCAGAATCTCAGGTTAAATATTTATAGTTTGATGTTTTATGGGCGACATGTAATAAAAAGGGCTAAAGTTAAGCTTTATGCTATGAGGCTTATACCATTAATTGCAATTTTATGAATTTAATTAAAATTGATTTATAACTTATTAATAACAAGTTATTATGTACATAGATCAAAAATTAGACTTAAGTATTATGATACGAATATTATCAAAATCTAAAACTATATCAATTCTATTACATATCATACATAGATATCACATATCATACATTATGAATCTAGTATTTAACGAATATTCTTAAGCCTTAATTCAATTATATAACAATAAACTTATAGTTGAATTCTATTAATAGTTAATATTATATCTAAACTTAACTATAATTCCCAGTTTGTTCCCAGATGTGTAAAAACAGTGTAAATTAATTATATGCTAGGTCTATTCAAAAATAGACCCTATCATGTTAATGGCCATTATATTTATTGTCAGAGACTCAAACAAACTTATTAACGCTAAAAATGGTTGAGTAATTAAAAATCATTTAAAACATATCTAACCTTATATTACAACGTTTTGTTTCCATTAGTTATATCTAGTGATTGGTTAAGAGACGTGAATACTATATCATATTAATGTGATTCTTAACATTTTAGATATAAAGTGTTAAACAATAAACTGTTAATTATTGTCCATTTATTACATGGAATTTATTATTTAATGAATTAATTGTTATTTGATTTAATTTTAAATGTTTGTTTTAAAATAGTTTACGCATATCTTGTTGTGATTCTTAATTAAAATAAATTTTTTATTTTGTTTAAGATCTAAATATATTTCTGTTAATAGTTTTTTTTAATGATATCCATTAATTGTACATTTAATTCATTTATCAACAAATAAAGCAATAATTTTATGTTCAAGACTTATAACAATTCTTTATAATAGCTGTATTGTATAATTATTGTATTTAATTACAATACAATTCAATGTTTATAAATTATAACCAACAATACATGTTAGTAAAAAAATCCTGAACGAGAATTTAATTAAGATTTTATTTTTTGCAATTTTATTTAACGGTTTTGTTACGGATTTAACGTATTTCCTGATTTCATAATATAAATATACTCTTTATATCTTTATATCTTATATCTAATTGTGAAATAAATTATAATTTCTTATAACTCTTGAGTTATGTTTTCATTGAGTTTTACGAAAACAATGAGTTTAAGACACTTAATGTCGACATTTATATTACTTGTGGTGATTCTGTGCGCCAGTAGTGGTGTATTGGGTCAGTCAACACAGACATCAGTGTCTGTCCTCTCTACTACTGTCTCTTCCGTCACAACTACCACCACAGCTGATCCCAACATCATCTCAACCACTATCGACCCCAATATGACCGCAACAACACCTCCGACAACAGTAACCACTTCGGACACTACATCTACTCAACACACGGTTGTGATCCCAACGCGGACTAAACCCACGGCACCGAAGGATCAAAACAATGTTTGGCTTTATTTGACACTTCTATTATTCCTAAGTCTGGTCATAGCGACAGCCGTTTGCATAACTCTCTGCTGTATTACCAAACGATTATCACAAAGTAATAAATCATTAGAGAAAATATTATTCAATGAATAAACGATTAATTTTTGTGACAATTGTTTAGCAAAGACTGTTGACAGCGAAAAAGATGAGGAATCAAAGGAAAAGTCCGAAAGTCCGCCTAAAGAGTCCAAAAAGTCGAAGGAGAAGGAAAAAAGTGGTGATAAGGAGAGAAAGCCTCCGCCACCTGCCCCCAAACCTGCGCCCAAACCTGTGCCGCCACCGCCTCCTGTGTCAGCCCCACCACCGCGTGAGCCGTCGATGAGCGCAGTGCCCATCAGTCCTAATGAGCCCCCAATTCTTCCGCCTCCTAATGAGGGCAAACCGGACACACCTTTCCAGGGATTGCCATAAAGTGTTGGATTGCAACAAATATTTTCATAACTTTTGTCTAATTTGTTTGATTGTTATTAAATGTGTTAACTCTCGTCACTTTCTATCTCATATTAAATGTTTTATTAAAATTGAGCATGGTTTTGTGCCCTGTTGTGTGAAAACCAATAGTGGTAGTGGTTGTGTAGTTGCGATGATATAGTGGTTCTAAGTTTATATAACACTTTGACATCTCCTCTAACAACCCCTAACCCCTAACCCCACCCCTCCCTATAATAAATACAGTAGTCTGTAAATATTGATCTCGCATAGCCTCCACTTTCACAGAATATAGTCACGTGATTGAAAAATTCCTATACTATAAAAATTGCCGGACATGAATCTGTATGTAAAATTACAATATTATCACTTTAATGGTTCCGATATAATGGCCAAAACAAGTTAGCGGAAAATTATTGAATATCCTTATATATTACAAATATAACACATTGTAATAAAGTTATATTAACATCATTTTATGCTAAAAACGTATTTATTAGTGAAAAACTTATCAATTTATTAACAATTTATATCTTAAAACATTAAAAGCATTCAATGTATTCGTAATTTCATAATCGATATAAATAGTCGTAAATATATTTAAATTCAAAAAACAAACAAAAAATATTTAATGAATACATATATAGAGTAAATATATTGAAAATTTCAACAAAAATAATAATAATAATTAAAACCTAACGACAGAATCACTAAAAACGCATATAATATCCAAACGATTTTTATACAAATAAATTATAATAACATTTAATTTTTTGGTTATGAATTTGAAACAAATAAAATTAATAAATAAAATTATATATATTGAGTAAATTTATGTCATATTTTGTATGTATTGTTAATAACTAATCTTAAAAACAAAAAGAGCGGTCGGAAAGAGTGCGGTATGTGTTGTAGTGGTGTCTATGGACTCAATTCCCAGACAATGAGGTGAGATCTGTCGCCTTTGGACAGAGAGGTGGAGTCGTCGTCTCCATTCAGTCGAAAGTCGATATAGCCTTCGCCTCCACTCAGTATCAGATTCTTAGTGCACACGAAGAACTTGACGGCGTCTTTGTGGCCGTGAAATGACAGCTGAGTTGCGGTTAAGTTACAAATCGGTACAAATGTAGACATCGATAGGCGTCCGGTGGCCGTCGACGACACGATTGTTGTCGTACTTTGGGTGGCGTTCGTGTCTTTGGAAGCGCCGCACGTATATATAGAGTAAATATATTGAAAATTTCAACAAAAATAATAATAATAATTAAAACCTAACGACAGAATCACTAAAAACGCATATAATATCCAAACGATTTTTATACAAATAAATTATAATAACATTCAGTTTTTTGGTTATGAATTTGAAACAAATAAAATAATAAATAAAATTATATATATTGAGTAAATTTATGTCATATTTTGTATGTATTATTAATAACTAATCTTAAAAACAAAAAGAGCGGTCGGAAAGAGTGCGGTATGTGTTGTAGTGGGTGTCTATGGACTCAATTCCCAGACAATGAGGTGAGATCTGTCCCCTTTGGACAGAGAGGTGGAGTCGTCGTCTCCATTCAGTCGAAAGTCGATATAGCCTTCGCCTCCACTCAGTATCAGATTCTTAGTGCACACGAAGAACTTGACGGCGTCTTTGTGGCCGTGAAAAGACAGCTGAGTTGCGGTTAAGTTACAAATCGGTACAAATGTAGACATCGATAGGCGTCCGGTGGCCGTCGACGACACGATTGTTGTCGTACTTTGGGTGGCGTTCGTGTCTTTGGAAGCGCCGCACG